AAAACAAACAAACAAAAAAAAAACCGTTGCCCACGTATTTTACAACTTCACTTCTGACCCAAGATTGTGCTTTACTACAGGCTACTGCGAGTCAATACAGGAAAGGAACTGTGCAATGGTTTGTTATCATTGGAGAGTTGCAAGCTACTCTAAAAGCCGAAGCCCTCAGAATTAGTCTGCTGTCAGATGAGGAAAACTGCCTGGACTCTGGCAGTAAACACTACAATCAAGTTGTGTTAACAGGCAGGACTTCAGAAAAGCTCCAAAATACTGATGCTTGGATTCACCGCCACAACAAGAAAAACATAACCCATTTTCTCTGGGCTGTTGGAAATCTGCTCCAAGAGCAAACCTTAAACACATGGGTCTTGAACTCTACAGGAGCAAATATCTTTGGAAAGAACAGTTAGTTAACCAATGACTCTTAGATCAAGAAAGTGACAAAACAAAGCATACGGCTTCCACCCAAGGACAAAAGAGGATGTATTTTCTAAAACCCCTGCCACTCATTTTGAAAATTATTTAGTTCATTGTTAATCTTTTCTTGTACTCTGATTTCTCTGGTGACCAACTAAAAGTTTCTCAGCATGTTTCCACTTATTTTCATTGCTACCACTTCTCAACCCGTTTAGTTTTCCACTGACAGAATGAACATAGTAATTGTTTCTGAAATACTAAAAGCCATAAATTTCCCTCGTGAGCAGACATCTTTGAGTTTTCATCATGTTATTAATGGTAACTTTCTTCCTTATAAAAAGTACACCTTGGGGCCGTGGCAGTGGGTGGCAGGCTAAGCCTCTGCCTGTGGTGCTGGTATCTCATATGGGCACCAGTTCGAGTCCTAGCTGCTCTATTTCTGATCAAGCTCTCCGCTAATGTACCTGGGAAAGCAGTGTAGAATGGCCCACATTCTTGGGCCCCAGTAGCCAGAAGCAGTTCCTGGCTCCCTGCTTCAGATCAGCCCAAATCAGACCGCTGTGGCCATTAGGAGAGTGAGTCACTAAACAGAAGATCTCTCTTACACATGCACACACACACACACACACACACACACACACACACACATTCTCTCTCTCTCTCTCTCTCTTCTCCGTCTGTAACTCTGATTTTCCTAAATAAAGAAGCAGACCTTGATCCCAACCATTTCAAGGGCTGGGACTAACACTGAAGCTAACTTCGCCAAGTAAGTTATTCTTTCAGCAAGTCTTTTTCCTCCAATATACTTAAATTTCTATCTCATGCTAAGCTTCAGCGTTAAAAAGTAAACAAATTGTGATGGATGTTAAGAATAGGTTTCAAGTTTGTGTCCCTGGTTTGTGCCCTTCACAAGTAATCCTGAGCTTCTTTCCCCTCGTGAGAGACTCAGATGAGGCAACTGGAGTGCCTTATTTCCCTTCTCCCGTTCTCTGGCAAAGTAGTTTCTCTTGCAGGGAGGACAACAAGAAATTCTCAGAATGTTTCCAAAAGGTTACTTCCCCGCTCACTCTAGAAGCATAAGGGATTTTTCTCTGATTTGTATTCTGAGGACCTGGGATTGGGCGGGGGGGGGGGGGGGTTCTAATGTTAAACTCACAAAGCTGTGGGGGTTGCCCTAAGCAGAAAAAAAACCTCAGCTTTTGAGTTAGTCCACACTCCGTTCCCAACAGTTTCTCAATTATGAGTTTTCCCACAGATCTGGATGCCAATGATTTCTGTTCCTAGTGAGCTGTGATTGTATTTGCTTATTTCCTCTTTACTCAGACCTTGACTTGTCCTATGTCTCCGTTTTCTGACAGCTTTAAGGGGGATTAGTGAGTCTGGATTGTTCAGCTTCTTTCTTGCTGTGACGATTAGACAACTTAGAAGCTCTTTACGTTATTAGAGGAGTAGCAAGAAGTTTATAGAATATTCTTTTTAATCTCTTATCAAGATGTTTCTGCTATGTGACTGTGAACTGTTTTTAAAAACTTATTTATTTATTTGTTTATTTATTTATTTATTTATAGTAAAAGAGGGATAGAGACAGAGAAAGATCTTCAGTCACCTGCTTCACTTCCCAAATGTCCACAGAGCTGGATCAGTTCAAAGTCAGGAGCCCAGAACTCCATCCTGCCATGTGGATGGCAGGGACCGAAATACTCAGGTTCAGGCACATGAGCAGAGAGCTGGATCAGAAGAGACATAGCTGGGATTTAAACCAATATTCTGGTATGGCATATAGACATCCCAAACAGTAGTCTAACCCACTGTACAATAATGCTCAGCCCAATAGTAAATTGTTTGTATTCAGGAATCACAGTCTCTTCTATGCCAGGACTCCTGGGATCCGGTACACTGAGAGAATTCTTCAAGACACCAGTCATTCATTTTCATCTAACTATCTGCTCTTCATCACACATACTCTCCTTTAGTTTACCTTATGTTTTCCTGGATTTATGTCTCAACCCAAAGTTATATTTCCAAATAGTCTGTTATCTCTTCTTCAATGTCAGCTAATTTATAGGCATTACAAATTTCAAAAATTCAGAACTGCAGTTGCTCATCTCTGTTTTCTTGTTCATGTTTAATGAGTTCACCATCCAATTAATTTTTCCAACCAGAAACCTGGAAGTCATTTTTGGTACTTATCTCTGTCAAAATAACATGTTCCAAATCTACAATGACACATCGGGTCATTTCAACCTCCAAACTTATGCCCAATTCATCTCTCTCCATGTCATGGTAATCAACCTGTTCTGAACTATCAAGATCACTAGAAAAATTCCAACAAAAATTCTCCAGCATCTTCTCCATTCTACTCTCAGTTGCTCTCTTTTCATGAAGCAGCCAGAATATTCTTCATGGATACATTAAATCATGAATAGACTGATGAAAATGAACTTACTGTCCAGGAAATATGCTAGATTTCTATATTGGCTGTCAAGATATTTATTTACTTTATTGTGAAAATGCTCACACAAAACATAAAAAGCACAAGTCCTGCTTCTTAACAGCTATAACTTCAAACAAACTCAGCTTTCAGAAATAAGTTTAAGGATGAAAAAGAGAAAGTAGGAAGATAGGCAGTTATGCTGCTCACGTGGTAGCCACAGGGAGAAATAAGTGAGATGACCCAGAAAGGAGTTGCAGAACACTGAGAAAGAAAACGAAGGGGATTCAAAAGTCACCCTGGTCTGTGGTACAGAAAGATGAAAGAAAATTAAAAAATTACCTACCAGAAATCTGTGTTCAGAATAAGGTAGAATGGAGAAGGTAATTACTAAGACAGTCTATTGGTTTTGGATATTTTAAACTATATAAGTTGCAAGACAACAATAAATTTGTAGTCAATCTTTTACTGGAAATAATATTTGCTAGTGAAGAATTGATTTTTGAAACATCCAAAAGTTCTGATCTTTTCTTCCATTACCTTCCTACCCAAAAATCAAAACAAACTGAGTTACTTTATTTTGAAGTAAAATTCTTTATTTTCAAGTTCACCTTGATGTTTTTAATATCAAGTCCCTATAAGTAATTACTTGAATATTACTTTTTAAATCTGCTCTCAAAATATTTGTAATTTTACTTAATCATCATTGTATTCTACTACATAATATAGCACACTCCTAATTATTTTCTAGAATTCATTAAGATTTATGTCATTAATGCAGTGAAATTAGAACTATACTTTAATGAACTTTCTGTATTTTTCTATTTTACATTCCAATGCCCTGCAGATAGCAAGACAATAGTATTATATGACATTTTAATATACTTGTTGATTAGGAAAGACATAAATAAATATAATTTTGTCCATAACGGTATTATTGCATCATAAAAAAAATGAAATGCAAAAACTGCATTTGAGCAAATATTTACTTAATTCTTACTGTGCATCAGGTAGTCTGCCACATGACAAGGATTAAACAGAAAACAGGATAATTTCAGGCTTGACTTCAACTAGATTTATTAAGGCAACAGTTCCAATCATAGAACTACACTATTAACAATATATATCACATCATAGCCTTATTTCAGCAGAAAACAAAACACTAAAACATTATAAAAATCAAAAGTAGCATAATGTGTATAGGCATTATCCTCATCAATGGCAACAAGACAAAAATATTTTTCTTTGAATCTGTGTTAAAGCTAAACTGGCATGTTTTCCTGAGCTTTTCATCTTACTGGTCATTCTCATTGTCTCCTAGATTTATGTTATTTATGTGCATCACTCTCTCCGACCAACCACCAAATCATCTTCCCCATCAACACAATTTCTGTGTTAAAGAGACACAGAAGCTCAGTGGTCAAGGGTGTTCCTTACACTTGTGGCAGTTGCTATGGGGAGCCTAGACTTCTGCCTCGCACTCATAGTTACGTCTGCTCTACAACATAAATAATACTGCTTGCACAAATTAGAAAAAAACTAAAAAGACACGAATATGAACAATTTTCAAATCTGTTTTTTAATCTACTGACAACTAAAAATAATAAAATCAACTTTTTTTTAATATTGCTGCACTTCGCAAATCACATTTCATAATCTAATGAAATGTTGAGTGAAAACAGAACTCAATGGTCAAATAAATTCAGTAAACATTGTTATGTCCTCGTACCCTTGAAGTGTATTTAGAATTTCACAAGTATAAAGAAATCTGCCTAACCTTTAAAAAAAACCTTTCCAAAACTATTTGACCAAAGATTAGATTAAACCTCCTAATGTTCTGGAACTACTGTTGAAAGAAACACGCTCTGGAAAATGCCATATTGGAGAAATGTTTTATTGAATAAAATGGTTTATCTTATTTATATTAAAATTGGAGGAAGGATTCTCTTCTTTTTTGCTATTCCTAAAAAAAAAAAAAAAAATCCTTGCTTTTTGCTTGGATTTTCACAAGACAATTAAAGGTTATATAATTCTGACCTATCAAGTTTCCTTTCTGAGCGCTGCTATTCCAAGGGCAGTATTTTAAGTCATACTTTTCAGTATGCTATACTATCAGAGGTAATATTTAGTCTGTATAGATCAGCTTACTTACGTCTGGGGCTCCTTTTCATTTTGCTGTTTTTGCTGGGGCTGAAGAACGTTATTTACCAGTTCAGTGATTCCACTAAAAGGAAACCACCTGTTTAAATAAGCAAATAATGTGACTGAATAACCAAATGAATAACAAGGTAGATTCAATGCTTTCTTATCATCATAAGAAAAAAAAAATACACAGGCACAAAAGCTACAGCCAATGGAAATGTGAGCTCCAGTTCCAGGCAGTAAGAATCTAGGGAAATTAAGTTGGAACACTTCACCAGTCCACAAGCAGGCAGCAGAAAACTACATCCAGTCACTATGTGGATGAAGTAAGAAGCTGCAGGCAGCTCTTACAAGCCAGAGAGTCAGAAAGCAGAAGACACACTAGCTGCAGCCTATCCAGTATTAGTGTACGCTAATACCATCAAAGGTGCAGAAAGCAGAGAGTGGCAAGAGTCAAGCCTACTGCACTGAATACGTTTACTTACTGTGTCGGTTGTGCTTTGGGTTCTTCTTTGACCCTAAAAAGATAAGTTTGCACAACTGAGTGCACTGTTCTAGGAAGAAATATCTACCTACAGATTTGTGGTCATACCAAGTGCATGAAGACTGAGGATTATCACATTACAAAGCTTAGAGCTTCATCATAGTTTGGAATTACACATTCCAATCACTTGTATACAAAAATGAGAAACTGGGTTGTTTGTTATTAAGCTCTACCGCTATTTCAAACCCATGATTTAGTCCTATCATTTTCTGCATCTTTTAGTTGATGTTAAAGTTTTCTAAAATAATTACTTTAAAATACCATATGGAGCAGCTATATCTGGTGAATTGAAAAATATGTAAATTCCCTTCATTTAAATTTCATGGTTATAGTAAACTGAAATAAAGGTATAAATGTTTTAAATAAAACATAGGGTTTTACAAATATATTTCTAAAATCTTACCAATGAATTCTTTACACTTAGAGGAACAAACAATAGAGGTAGGGCTATTTACCTAATCTACCTAAAAAGAATTATTAAAATGATTATTGCATTGAAAGTATTCACAAGTTAAATTATTCATATAACTATGCTAGAAAATAAATGTAAATAAGTGCTACCGAATAACTAAAAGCTTTGCTTTCATTCTGTCAGGTGCAATAAAATATTATCCAAAATTGTACACAAATACTTTTAAGTATTCATGACCAGAAACTGATTTGGAAGTGGACAAATTATGGGGGATATGATGTGAATGTTTAGGTACACCTAAAAAATTAATTCTCATCTTTTTTGGCACCCTTAGTGAGTCACTCTTGGGATTAGTATTATTCACTTCTTATAACATTTCTTTTTTAGAATTAATTATTTCTTCTTCAGTGTATGCTATTAGTGTATATTTCTTCCACAATACTAATTAAAAGAAAACAAGGCCTGTATAAAGTACTGAGTATGAAAATTAAATACAACTGCCTATTTAAGACAGAAATGCCACATGCAAGAGTAGCAAAGACTTCTGAAATGTAGCTTCCTACAATTTCATAAGACAAACCTGATCAGTAAACCTACAGCTCAATAATCAATTGGTTAATTTTTATTTTCTCAATAAAGAACTAAGAATTGGCAACTGAAATTTACCTAAACCTAGGTGTCACTAACTAATCTAAACACTCTAAATTAAATTCTATTTGTCTTCTTCCATAGCGTGTTCTGTTATTTTATGATCTAAGCAAATGAAAAGGTATATCCTTATACACTTTTTGTTTCAATGAATAAATACAACTGGTAACTACATATTTCTATGTTAACCACTGCAGAATATCCTATTTTCTCCATTTAAACTTCAGAGTGTAATACCTTTATCCCAGAGGTAAATTATACACATAATTCAGTATTTAAGTATAAGCATACAACAGATTAACAGTTAAAAATATTTGTTAACATTGAATATGTAAACAACCAAACTATATGGATGCAAGATTCTACCTAAAATTTTATCAGTTTACTTGAGAATAAGATCAAAATCTTGTTTAAAACAAGATCACAAATAGAAAAATGTTGGACTGTTATATTGGCTCATCAAAATGCAGAATCGCTCAAAATTGCTTGTCATCAAAAAACAGATATTTCTTAAAACTATATGCAAATGAATATGTAAATACATGTTATAAGAAACTAAATGAAATCCTGCAAGGAATCATATGACAAAAGTTTGTAACATAAATATATTAATGTTAACAGGCAAATCCGTCTCCCACTTCAAAATCTTTTGAGAAAATTAACACAGAAAAAAAAGTTTAAAACAAGAATTATATGTGACCTTTGGAAAATATTTAGAAGTAAAATATGCAAACATTCACATAATCTTTCCCAAAAATAGTATCACATATACTGAAGAATAAATACTTCAAATGTCGTTGTATAAAATCAAGACTATAAAATTATCCCTCACCTTTTTTCCAATTACCTTTTTGGGTGAAATTAAATCCAGAAGCACCTGATTATAATTAAATCTTCTATCAAGATAACAAATTAAGAAATGATAATATTAAAGTAATTACACCACATATGTCTCTGACAATATGTTAACACGATTGGCAATGAATTTCCATGTTCCTGTATTTCAAAAAGTTTAGGAGGATCTGCTGGTGTGAAGCTGACATGAAACTGAATTATTAAACTGAGCTTAACAACCATGAAACTGAGACTCTCAACAGGAAACAAAATTAAAACTGAGAGAAAATCTTCTTAGAGATAGTGAAGATAACTTTGGTCATGGGCAAATTGTTATCATAAGCATTGGACAGATGAGGGAATACAGAGAATCTCAGCCAGTCTCTGTACAAATCACCTAAACTGTATCTTCTGGAGGCTCCAAGTGTACCACCTGGGAAGTTTAAAACTCCAAATCCCAGGTCTGTTTTAGGGGTGCCACCATTCTACCATGAAGTTTTACCTACAGAAGCCCTACCAGATTTGATCCAAAAAAATCACCAAAAATACCTCCCTGCTTCCAAGACAGGACAAAGGCAGAATAGTAATTGTTTTGAAATTCACCCAGAGATCTCTGTTCCTAACAAGACCTGCCCTCAAGGGAGAACGTTTACAAAGATTAGTCGTCTGGGCTGTTACCAAAGACTGGCAGGTTTGGCAACAGCAGAAACCAACTCCATTCTCCTCCAGCCTTCTGTGTGGACAACTGGAAATAGTAACTACTGTTCCTCTGGCCTTCATTGTAAGTTCAGGCACCTAATTTTTCACTAGGAAGTGCATCACCTGCATCCATATCTGTAGTTTTTTTGGTAACAACAGGGAATGCAACCGAAAGAACTACAAGCCTTGGACACTATTCATAGAATGAACTGCCAAAGAATACAAAACAGAAAGGGAGAAAAGCACAAGAACAAGAAAATTTAGTTTTGGGCACAACGCTACGCTAAACAGTAAACACAACCTAACTCCTAACTGGGTAAATACAAACCTCACTAAAAGGTCGATTGATTGAAATTCCTTTTACCCAAAAACCACATTCAGCTTTCACTAAAAATTACAGGACATTCTAAAAGGCAAGAAAAACCACAGTCTGAAGAGACAGATATGGCAGAGATTTCAGAATTATTAGACAGACAAAATAGTTATGGTTAATATGCTCAGGATTCCAGTGTGGCAAACAGGCAACATGCTAACATAGGTGACAGTAGTAGGACCAGTGAGAGGCAAATTCTAACTGAAATAAATGCTAAGATTCAGAAACAATGTAGAATATCTTTTGCTCTAATTTTTTATTTGTTTGTTTATTTTGAAAGTCTGAGTTAAAGAGAAAGGGAGAGACACAGAGCTCTTCCATTCACCTTAAGCAAATTGTGACTAGGTGGAACATTCCTCAACACAATCAAGGCAACACATAATAAACCCACATCCAGCATCATGTTGAATTGGGAAAAGCATTTTCACTAAGATCCAGAATCAGACAAGCATGTCCACTTTATTCAATGCTATTCATTATAGTTCTGGAAGTTTTAGCCAAAAAGCTTCGCTAAGAGACTATTGGAACTCATAAGAGAGCTTAGTAAAGTTGCAGGACATAAAACAAACACCAATTGTTTGTACACATGAACTGAGAAAGAACTATAAAATGAATACCAATAGCTGCAAAATTTTTTAATATCTTGGAATAAATTTAGTCAAGGATGTGAAAGAACCGTACAATGAAAATTACAAATCATTTTTTAAAACAAGAAATAGAAGCAAAAAAATAGAAAAATCTTCCATGATCAAGGATGAAAGAATTAACATCATCAAGATGTCCATAATCAAAAGCAATTGACAAATTCAATGCAATCCCAAAATAACAGACATTCTTCTCAGGTCTAGGAAAAAAAAAACAAAGACATTAAAGATCATATAAGAACACAAGATGCTCTGAATGCCAGGAGCAATTTTAAACATAAAATGTCAGAGGTATTACGATGCCAGAATTTAAGATACATTATGGGTCAGTTATAATCATAACAGCCTGGTATTGGCATAAGAAAATATACAGAAAAGAAATCACAGCAATTCATCCATGCATCTATAATCATCCATGCTTCCATGCATCTTACACCTTACACAACAAACAATTCACAATGGATCAAGTAATCAAACCTAAAACCTGATAGCCTCAAATTACTAGAGGAGAACAGGGACACTCTGTAAGACATTGGAATAGGCAAAGACTTCTTCAAAAGACACGAGAATTACTAGCAATAAAGACAAAAGACAAATGAGATTAGTGAAAGCACTGAACAAAATGAAGAGGGAGCTGATGGAATAGGAGATTTTGCAAACTATGTCTCTGATGAAAAAAAAAAAAACCATTATCTATGGAGCTCAAAAACATAACAATAAAAAATAAATTACCCAGTCAAGAAGGCAAAAGAGGTTAACAGGCACTTTTCAAAGTATGAAATAGAAAGAGCCAAAAAAGACATGAAAATATGGTCTGGGAGCCTGCACAATAGCTCAGTTGGATAATCCTTTGCTTACAATTGCTGCCTTCCATTATGCACACCAGTTCATGTCCCGGCTGTTATACTTCCCATTCTACTCCTGACTTACGACCTGAGAAAACGGTAGAGGTAGACTCAAAGCCTTGGGACCCTGAGCCCTCATGGAGACCGAAAAGTGGCTACTAGTCCCTGGCTTTGGATTGGCTCAGCTCTGGTTGTTATGACCATTTGGGGAGTGAACCAGTGGATGGAAGATCTTTCTCTCTGTCTCTCCTCTCTAATAATCCGCCTTTTCAATAAAAATAAATAAATCTCTAAAAGAAAAAAGAAAAGGAAATATACACAGGATCAGGTGCCATTATAAAAACAGAAATAAAAACCACATAAAGCTATCTCCACATCCTTATTAGAAAGGCTATCATCCCAAAAAATAAATAAATAAAATAAATGCTACCAAGCACATGGGGAAAAAGATATTCTAATTCACATTGGTAGGAATGTAAACTAGTACAACCACTCTAAGACAGTATGTAAATTCCTCAG